ATGAGTGCGGGATCTGTCACCAGACCAAAGATCAGCATCAGTTGGCGTTGTGTGACTCGTGTCACCTCTATTACCACCTCTACTGTCTGGACCCACCGCTCACTCGAATGCCCAAAAAGACCCGATTTGGCGGATGGCAGTGCTCTGACTGCACTGAACAACAAGACGAGACACAAGACAGTGATAACAACGACAACAATGACGACAGCAATGATTCCGCCCCGAAGAACGCTCCCCGAAGACTACGAGAACACGTGAAGGGACCCAATAAGTACGATCCCGAGGGTTACTCTCCTCCCCCTTCCAGCCTATCATTTGCCTCCAAATTAGGCAAAAGAAAATTGGGTTCAAATTCGGGCAAAAAGAAGAAAAAGAAACCAAAAACAGAGGATAAAAGTGACGAGACATCAGAGACCAGAACTAAAACCATTCGAAAGCCTCTGAAAGCAAAGAGAGTTCCCGAGAAAGAAGAAGAAGTTTGCTTTAATTGCAATCAAATGGCGTCTATTAAAGAGCGAGTTCTGTAAGTCTTTTGATGATTGTTTTGTACGTTATTTGATGTGTAAGTCATTGATTACATTTGATAATAGATGCGATAATTGTCATAATAATTACCATTTGAGTTGTTTGGATCCACCCATGAAGAAGACACCCAAACAACGAGGTTATACGTGGTTTTGCCACAACTGCGACCAATCGGTTTGTTATCTCATTGTTATCCCATTTCTTATGTTTTAATAAATTGTTTATTAAATCATAGGACGAAGAAGAAGAAGAGGAGGAGGAAGAAGACGACGATGAAGATGAAGACGGAGATAACGATAATGGAGAGGACGCCGATCAGGAAGAGGAAGATAAAGATTAAATAAATACATTTTATATTGCAATTAATACAATGTGCTAAACATTATAACAATTTTCCTTAAAACACTTAAATGTCTGCTAATTAAGCAAATAATTGCCTTTTTGTATACCATATCCACAAATCAATTCATAAAATGTCAAAATTGTAGTTTTGATTACTATTAATATTTGTAGAAATTTGCTAACTATTTATAATTATGATTAAAATTAGGGCACAAATTGTNTAACTATTTATAATTATGATTAAAATTAGGGCACAAATTGTCCGTATATTTAGTAGATATAGATATCTAAGGATCGAGTGTTTGATTAAACTGTAAATAAATAAAAGATTAATTGAGTTATAAATGTGGCGCAAAAAGAGTGTCCAATGGGTTAGTGGTTTGTTTTGTGGGCGTTTCGCTCATAACACGACTTCACTGTACTTTTAATAGGCATCGAATGCTATGCTTGAGTACAGCCTATGGCCTATGTTTTGACTCAAGTTTAACGTCAACTCAAATGTTATTTCAAAACATTGTTTTCATTTGATTTACAGTTTGTTTGAAATAATCAATCGTTTTATGCTTTTAGACGCCAATGGATTGGAGTTGAGATCACATCCAAAGAGTGGCAAAACAATTGATACAATAGATTGAGAAACGATGGCTCGAAACACTTCTTCCTCCATATCTTCGCTGATGGCTAACATCAACACCAATAAGAAGACATTCAAGTCTTACGTGGATTTGGGCATCAATTCAGACAAAGAGAGTGCCGTCAATACGGATGACGTAAGTGTTGACCACATTATCACGTGATATAATGATTGAACGGATCTGTTGTTTGCTTTGATGGCCAGATGTGGACCACATTGGATGAGAACGGAGTGACCACTGATTTGGGCAAAACTCGCCGCAACTCATGGCTATCGTTGGATATGAGAGACCGAAGAGCTGTCAGCCGAAGCGCCTCATCGATGGGATCAATAATGAGTGATACCGTCGAAGGCGTCAATTACTTCTACACTCATACCAAACACAAGACGGGAATTTGCGGACAATTGACACTCAATGGCAGCGGATTAATGTTCTTAAGCT